TCGAGTTGTCTCATCGTCTTTCGATCCGGAGCAAACTTTCCATTAGGGTATGCTGCCACTACGGTCTCTCTATCCTTGATATATGGGTGTGAATCGACCATTGTAGAATGTCGAACTGACGACAAATCTCTGCCAGTGGAGCTTGCTTTTTGTCAAGAGCCTGGATTATTTCTTTTTTTTTTTGGTGGTCAATTGAAAATGTTCTCTTGTGCTTGACATCGTTGGTGACAGTAGACACATTACGCGTGCGTGTTGCTAGGTTTCGGGCTAGATCGAGGTCGGCAGCACACCGCAGCCCTCTCTCTTCACACGTTGCATGTGCTTGCAGTGGCATGGCTTGCTCCATCACTGCTTTACTCTCTCTCTCTCTCTCTTACTTTTTACACATTGTTAACGAGCCTTTGTCCCTGCTATAACCGGTTGGGTTCCGATGTGGCCTTGTTAATGCCGATAACTTTTAATAGAAACAAAGAGTAGGAAAAAACGGGGATTTAAAAAATCCCTGTTATTACCGGATCCCTGTTATTATCGGGCCTGTTATATAATATGGTTTCCACTGTATATCCCCCGGGTCTCTCCAAAGTCTAGACACTCTGTTAAAATGTGTCTAATGGTAAAATCTTCGTCGCATCCGACATAGAACGGCTTCTCATCTCCCAGAAGGAGGTATACCAAGCTTCAGGGACATGTGTCCGATGCGTAATCGAATAAAAATGACTTTGTCTCTTCTGGAAAGGCTCGAAGGTTTGCTCGGACCCAGTTTGGGCGTAATGTAGCGTAGTATTTCAATTATTTATTTCTCCCAATGAATCTCCCTCAGACTCGGGGTGTAGTTTTCGACTTTATTTTTAAAGTCAGTCTGTGGGAGAGTGTTCGTCGTTGATCCCAACAGAAGGGACAAGGATTCCTTCGCCAGGAGGTCCACTTGTTGCTTTCCTCGGATGCCCACATGGCTAGGCAGCCATGCGAACACGATACATGTACTTTTCCCGGTTTCAAAGCGTGTATTTTTCGTTGTAACAGAACTTGAGAACTATTTTTTTGTGTAACTAGTGTAAGAGTGTATAGTTTGTAAGTGAGGTGATGCAAGACAAGGAGTCAGACAGGATAAGGAAAGATTTTTTCTGAGAATTTTTTATGGAGTCCAGTGGCATGTCAATGGCATTGGCCTCTGCAGAGAAAATGGAGGCTTCGGGATGGAGTCTCCTCTGGTGTGTACTGTTTGAGGATATGTTGTTTTAGTAAGAGTTTTATGGCACTTGCAACACAATAAGGTCATATAAGTGCCGAAGATTAGAGATGTTCCAAGAGAGTAACAAACACAAAAAGGAGGAGAGATAAGTGGATAGGGCAGCAGCGTCCACAGCAGAGTAGAAAGACCAGACCATTCCAGAGTGTCCACAAATCATCAGTCTGCCCAAAATAAGAGAAAATGGGACCTCCTTTTGATTGTGAACACAAGAAAGTCCTTTTGAGTTTTGCTCCGCCTTGATAAAGAAGTATGGTAAGTTATCCGAGTAACAGTAGTGACATGTCAGTGACAGGCAGGACTTACAAATTAACTTCCATTCCTGACAAAACCAGCAGGAGAACTTTCATGAAAATTTATTTAATTAAACAAAATGCAATTTTTAACTTGTGTTAGACTTTCTACAGTCAAGAGTCTAGGTGAAAGGTATGGGTTTAACGCCCCTATTAACACTGCTACGAGTTATATTAAGGAGGCGGGGCCTCCGTGCTTAAAATGCATCTCCGAAAGGACCAACCCAAATGGGAAATTTGTGTAAATTTCCTTTTCCAAGGACACAACGTTGGATCGAGGTGAGGTCAGGAGCCTTATCAGTCGATCCAAAAGCCATGTGACAAAATGGCTTATAATTCTAAAATCCCAATGAAAGGACAAAATGTGTCCACATATTGCTATACCCATGAATAATGCGTACACACAGACACAAAATTAAAAAAAAAAATTAACAAACATTTTCTGAGTAAGATATTGACATTATTAAATTTTAATGAGCACTTAACCTGACGCCTTGAAGAATAAATAAACACCACATTGTACATAACATGCCGAGCACAGTAACAATAATCACGAATAGTAATAGTATAATAAATTAATTTTCAGTATGATCACAACAGGAAAGAAACATTTCACAGGAATTCTACAAAGTCTATATGAGGCTACAATTGTCGTAAGCCTCACTATAAAATCCCAATAAGAAAAAAACCCCGAACTAAATCAACTCCAATCTCTGTAAATTTTTTTCCGCACAATTTGTTTAGTTATTACATGGTCTATTACTGTTTACAAATGTGAGGCAGTGTGGTGAAATCAAGTGCTCGTCAAAATGACGAAATCGGAGAAACAGGCATTTTTTTGCCAGTTTAGAAATTTTAATTGAATTTTTATGTTTTGGCTTATCCTCTTTTATGTCCTTATGAAATACATTTCCATGTGAATTTTACTGAAAAACATTGATTAAAGGCACAAAATATGTCATTCTTCAGTTTTCAAAGACTCTTTAGCTATTGGAGCTACCAAAATTTGGAGGCCATTATCTCGCTAATTTCACCACTGAAACCAGGCGACCTCACTTCCTTCAATCCCAAATGTCTTGAGTTCTATTCAAGATAAATAGATATTTATTTCATTGGAAGCAAGGCAAATGAATCAGCTTTCCGATTATACTAATAACTCCAGATGCTAAAAAGTTGACGAGTGCCTGATTTCACTGCGTCGTGACACAAATATTTGATAGTCTGTGAGTTATTTCCATTTGAAAAAAGATAGCAACAGGCATTAAAAAGTAGCTAAGAAGAAACACCAAGACTCATTCACATTTCCCACTTCGTTGCCCCATGCTAAGTTATTTTCAATTGTAGGTCCAAGCAGGCGACCGTTGCCCTTATAATACAGTGGAACTCGGATTCAACGAGAACTCGGATTCAACGAGAGGAGATAGATTCCCCGGCTTTTTTCTTCTTTAAAATCAATAAAAATAACCCGGATTCAACGAGCACTTAAATCAGCGAACTCGGATTCAACGAGGTCGCTTCCAGGATGACCAGCCCCGCAGACGTGGCTTCGCTCATTTTTCTCCCACAAGGAACTTTCTTTATTCCCGGAAACCTTCCATTGCACCTGCATCGTGTACTATTATTCACTTAGCCAATTGCACGCGACCAATCAGCGGCCTTTTTTTCATACCAACACATGCGTTGTTGGCACGCGCACACGTCTACTCTAGCGTGTGTCGGGGTCGGATGGGCGACCTGCACACGTTTGACTGTGTGTGCGTGTCGGGGAGGGGGGGCCCAGCGGTCCGGGCATTGAACGCCGCAGATACAAACACGTCAGTCTTTATTTTCCCCTCGGCAACTGATCATTATTACAATGATAAGCTAGTCTTGACGTAGATCTATGTTATGAATTGCGCGCTGGTCTATGGAATCAAAAGTTGCCGTATGCTAGGCTCTACACAGCAACACAACTTTTTGGCAAACAATCGAGATGACACAGATGTGCTTTTGAGCGAATCGGTCTTTTTTTTACACAGATCATAATATGCAGGCACTTCAGGCACTACTTGTTACTTCTCTTTACACATTACTTGCTCTCTCTCTCTCTTGCCCTTTTTAACTCCCAGTGGAGCACAGGCCATCAACAACATTACTCCAGCGAAGCCTGACCTGAGCATCCTTTTCTATCCTCCATCTTCCAGAACTGGCAGTGTTGTTTTTGCTGTTGATGTTTTTGTAGCTGCTTTTGTTTCATGGGAAAGGGCTGCTAACCCTTTGCCCAACCGACCTTAGTCGCCTTCTACGACATGCGCGGTAAGGATACAGTGGTCCTATTCTTTGCTCCCCTGTCTCTTAGACAGGGCCCCGAGAACCACACGGGTGCATTACTTGCTCAGTGCATGTAATTATCTACACAAAACCTCATATTTGTTATAACGAGCACTCGGGTTCAACAAGATTTTAGGTCAGGCCCGGCGACCTCGTTGAATCCGAGTTCCACTGAAGTCTATTTCTTACAAGAAATGACTACAGGCCATGCATAAAGTAGTCTGTTCTCAATGGATGTGTGTTTACGTTATTGAGCTGTGGAAATTTCCATCCTAAATACTGTCGGGTTCAGGGCCCAGTGCAGAAGTGTGTAACCCGACTATCTTGGGGTCAGGGCTGAGTGAGTTAACCATAGCTGCCACTCAGGAATTTCAAAAAAGGAGGAAATTCATGCGAAAGCGTATGCGCGCTCTCCGAAGGCCAGAGTAAAACCATTGAGATCCAGAGGCAATATATACTGGAAAACCTAGCCTATGGTTTTGGAAGGGAAAACTGTCAAATTTGTTAACCTTAGGCAACTGAATTAAAATGTATTTGAGCCCCCCCCCAAAAAAAACAAACAAAACAGAAGGCAGTAAGTTGACAAACAAGCATTTAAGTCAATTTGACACAGTTTGGAATTGGTGACTAAAAATCCAGTGTTTGTTGCCAGCTGGTGTCTTATAAAAAGATTCCTTTCACTTTAAACTTGTACATCGATGTAGAGCACGCGCAGTATTGGATCAAGGAGGCAACACCTTTGCCGCAGTACTGAGCACTCCTGTACAATTGCGGTCCCGTTCGCACTTAACTTGGTAGTGCCCCTGTAGTGTGTAGATCTAAATTGAATTAAAATTATAGCCTAGGCTATCTAATCTAGACTAGATCTAGATATCTAAACATGTGAAAATATAGATTATATCTAGAGATAGATTATCTAGATCTAGATTCACTTCAACAGCCCCAATAGCCGTCATGTAAACAAACGGGACCACAATTGTTCAAGAGTGCCGCGGGCCGCGATTTCTTTATCACACCAAACGCAAAGTGCAGCAAGCGGCTTGTTCAATTTTCTAATGAACTTTTCAAGTCGCACACCGGCTGCTTCTCATTCCAGCTCCTTTTCTTTTGTTTTTGCATTCTGCATCAATTTCTCTCGAATTTCCGCCGTTTTCAATGACAACTCGGCGCGCTAACGTTCCGATGCCCGATCGACACTTCGTTGCTCCACAATAAACAAAGTGAAACTAGCGCTAGGCCTAGAAGAACGGAAGTAGAAAGCTACGGGCAGACATGCGTCATGCACAAGCTGCGTTTTCCTCTCTCTCCCGGTTCGGTGTTTTCCGCGTGTAAAAAAAGTATCGCAATTTGCGACCGAGAGCGGTCCATCGGAGGAAGGAGGAAAGTAGCGGGAAAAGCTAGATTAAGCGGAGTTTCCGCTATTTAGCGGGAAAGTGGCAGCTATGGTTAACACAAAGCTGTTTTGACACTAAATTCCTGTGTACATGAAAACATTTCAAATCCCCATCTCTCTGCTCTTTGTATTGCAATTACATTCTCTGGTTCCGTGACGTTTGTGCTAAAAGGGTTTTCCTGTTGACGTTGAGAAATATATTTAAATTGTCATTGATGAATAAGAGGAACCTTTCCCTTTTTTCCCCATTTTGTATTATCGTGAGTGGGTTGGATTCGAAGCTTTTTCTTATTCTCAAAGAACGGACTTACGGCTTATTTCAACTTACATGGCACCAACCCCCCCCCCCCCCCCCCCACCAAAAAAAAAAACAAAGACAAAAAAAACAAAAAAAACAACGCCAAAACCCTCATGCCCAAGAAAATCCTCCAGGCACCACTTGTAAATCCTTTATAAATTTCCCATCATGCAGAATCGGCTCTTCAGCCAGTAAGTGTTTCACATCTCCCAACAGACCCGGATTGGCCAATGACGGATCTACCATAATTTTCTTCCACCCTTCTGCCAACTTATCCTTGGTGGGATCATTGACTTTCCTGGTGTTGAAGGCAGCGCAGGGAGTGTGGTTGCTGAAGGACATGGTTGACGATGTACCGGACTGACATTTTCGAAGGACAGAGGCGATGTTCAGCGTGTGGTGGGGTAACACCGGCCCAGCCACCTCAAACACTTGCAGGTCAGAGGATGAAGCGTCACCATGGTCGGCTACTTTACACATGCTTCCTTTGACAGTTGATATCTTGACCTGTAAAGTCCACCAAAAAACATGAGGTTTATTCAAAGGATAAAGACAGGATCAGATTAACATTTATTGTCCACAAATTGGGACATGGGTCCGATGTTTCGCTTAGTAAACACACACACAAATAGACTCACACGCTACTCTCTTCCACACACAATGATAATATTAATATATCTTGCTTACAAAAATACACTGACAGACAGACTCAGTCACAAACACATCATTGGTGTTCCATATCATCCACTCAAGTCCGTTTGGGTACTTTTTACACCAGAGACAAAAAATATAGTTTTTGTTGCATTGTTCAGATTATAAAGAATCATGAAAAGCAAGAAAATTGTAAAAATCAGGTAGTACAAAGACAAAGAAGAAAAAAAAAGATGATCGTTGCCCCACCGAACGAGCTTGCTTTCCGTGATAGGCCCCCCTATTGGGTAATTATATTTTGAAAACTTCTTTGTGCATGCACATGTGTGTGTGTGTGTGTGTGTGTATGTGTCTGTGTGTGTGTGTTGCCATGCTCTCGTATGTGCCTATATATGTGCGTGGGGAAGGCAGGGGGTGTATGGGTGTGCACAAGTTACGATGAACAGTGTGTATGAAATGAGGCGAGGTTGGGTTTAAAAAAAAAATCATTTTATGGACTATCGTTCAAGGCATCTATCATACAGTATTGAATCTGGAATTGAATGCAGGGTGATTGCCAAACTGACTTCAAAACCCCTAGCCCATACAAATAGAAACTATATTAAAACATAATTTTCCCGACACTAGCATAGGACACTGTTAAGTCCTTCGTGACTTAGGTATGACAGACAATAAATTTTAATTAGTTTTACCCTAAAAATACAACATGAATCCTGATCTGGGCCTGAGGAGAGGCAAGAAGAACATCAACTGCCAAAACCATGTTCGGTTTCAGCAATCACGGATTTTAAAAGGTATGCATGACAAAACTTATAAAACCTTTATAGTTAGGCTCCCGGCAGAGCAAAAAGTTAGAATAAAAGAGAGCGTGTATCGATAGAGCCGGAGCTGGAAGGACTGTGAGAGTGTGGGGTGTAGTGATGCTGAAAACCTGGCAATCAGTGAATCACTGCATCATGGACTAAGCATTGATTTTTTTCAAAATGCTAAATCACAGTACCAGTATTTAATCAGCAACAAGCCATCATGATGCACAGGCATCCAACATTGAGCTTTCCGAGGGTTGAAAATGGCATTTCCTTATTGCCACTATTCAATTTGTCATCACTGACAAATCCGGGAACACCAACCTTGAAGATACAATCATCAAGCCTGTGCTCTAATGTTCCCTCATTTAGGCACTTGATTGTCGAATGTCAAAACCACTTCCACTTATCGTTTTTATTTTAGCATCAGTTTCTTGCACCGCGGCCTTTTCCTGCTGCCGTAGACTTTTTTTTGCGTCAAACACCTCCCCTCAATTCTGACACCCTGGAACACTCCTACTTTGAATGAACTTTGATTAGGCTTTCCACAACAACCACTGACCGGTCCCTTGCTCATGCCGTACTCACGAACTCTCACAGGTTCATTGACCGGTCACGATGACGGGCCCGACAATCTAGAAATTGGAGGACGCGTGATTTCTCTTTCTCCCCTTTTTTTGTTATTATAGTGACATCAGTGAGAATATCGATTTAACTTTTATGGCTACACTGTGTTTTTTACACACAAACTGCAGGTTACAAATTTTTATTAACTGTAAATCTAACGTCAACGAACTATCATCGGACAATTCTGAGCGGTAACGAAAGCGAAAGTAGATTTTGATTTTCCCGATGGAGACTCGGATTTACACCTTCAGTTCCGATTGCCGCCATAGCCGCTCATTCCCGTGAAACGTACTCTCGGACTGGGGAAAGCCGAACGTACTATCACAAACGCGAACAGTAAAATAAGAACTCAGAAGGCTTTTCAGATTTGGTTTCGAGGACTTTGTGCATTTTCTCGGGTCCCGGGTAATAAACTCCCGCAGTCCCCCTGTGTAGAATCCTTATTTGGTACTGACCGATTCTCTAAACCATGACAGATTTTAGAATGTTTTGCTTCGATACCGATTTTCCTTCTAAATTCACAATTCTTTTTTCTGGATAAATGAATTAAATGCACAGATTTTCCAGCCGCAGCAAAAAACTGAAGATAGACAGAAAGAAAGAATGAATGAAAAGAAGGAGGAAGATTATCTATCGTGAGTAGACAGATTTCAGCCGACATATATGCACGTGAAAAACTGTTGCCGACCGAACGGCACAGATAGACAATGGCCCAGTGTACGAAATGCGCAATTGGCAGTTTCTAATACAACTTATTGCCGAAAGTTGCCGTAAATATCTGACAAGTTACGGAGGCAAGTGCTGATCTCTCTCTCTCTCTCTCAACGCATGGCGTTGATATGATGATGCAGCAAGTACGGAACTTTCGGAATGTACGGATTTCCGCAAAAACAGAGAATGGAAGCACAGCAGAATGGTTTTAAAAAAAACAAACTCCCTTGGCACCCATCGAAAATCCGGTAGTTTTGACACCTTATCGGTATGTCGGTAGATCAGGCCCAAAATCGGTATCTACCGGAAAAATCGGTAGATTTAGGCAGCCCTGCAACAGGTAAAACCAAAGGCTTTATAATTTTCCAGAAGATAGCACCTGGTGGGAACACGGACAGGGAAAGAAAAAGAACATAGAATCTATATGCCAGCAACAAAGCATAGATCTAGATCTATATTTTTTTTCTTTAAATATGAGCATGAAATTTGAATTCTCAGCGCCTTAAGTTAAAGTAAAGCCTGTTTTCTTTCCAAAATTTCATGATTTTATACTTTTTACAGTGAAGTTAAGCAAACAATAGATGATTTGTTTGTCTTGATATTCTTAACAAATTTATCACTCAAACAGACAGAAGGGCGAGAGCCCAGATGTTGCTGGATCGATAACAACATCACTCAAAGAAAACATTTTTCACAATACAATGTCCATATACAAACCAAGTGTTGGTGGCTGCAGAATTCATTCAACCAAAGGTCTATGATGTCAAAGCACCAGAAAACACACAGTGCAGAAAGCAACAATTCAAAATTTTTTTCAGACACAAACCAGATTCAAAATTCGATACTATCATTTACTTTGAGGAATCCAACATCAAAATAAGGATTTCTGCACTTCAAAGCTTGCAACATCCCTTCACCAAGTAATTCATTAAAAAAGAAGGGGAAAAAAACATATATATTGTAAATAAAAATCAGAAACTTACAGTGTTTTGTGTCAAAACACCACCAGCAAAGGGGACAGGAGACAGTATGGTGGGTGGGATTCCCATCTGAGGGCCACTGTTGGCAATGCAGCCAGGATAGTTGAGCAGAAAATTGAAGAAAGGATGGATGTCAGCCCCCTCCACATACACCATGGACGAAGGGCGGTTGTCAATTTCCCTGAAGCCCTCTAGCTGGCTGTATTATTATGTAAGGATGTTTTACTCTTTGTTTTTTATCTTCTAAACAAAAATATGCCATCTGGAAATGCTAGATGCAGCCCAAACAATAATTATTGTAACACTTGCTGTCAATAGTGCAAGCCGATGCATCAGCCTAACAAAGAAACCACTGGGGTAAGACCACAATGTGTTCATTATTTACTATTCAAGAGCAGATAAGGTTACAATTTTCCTGCAAGTTTCATTATTTCAGGATATCATTTGTAGGAGTAAATAAAGAGGAGGGAAAAAACCCACCAAAACTAACCAAAAAAAACAGGAACGAAGAACTGTTTTCTTAACTCTAAGGTCTTGTTATTCCATTTCAAAAAAATTAAACATGGACCCCAACCACTATATTCACAGTAGGGTTTGAAAAGGATACATCTTGACTTTTGCAGGCTCCAATGAAGGAAAATCTTTTTTATCCAGTCCCATTCCTTCAAGCCATAATGAAGCCACTCGATGATCTTCCACATTCTCTTCATCGCTGTCAGAATTTTCAGCAGCATCTTTCTCTGGTGCTTCTCTGAAATACACAACACATGTAGAGCCACCAATTATTCCCATAATGGTGAGAATGAGGAAGAAAACCTGTGACCACGGAACAAAAATATATCTAAGTCTTTCAATGGAAGAATATACTTGGGAAATGACAAAAATAAAATGAATAATATATACAATCATGATTAATTATCACAGGGGAAAAGCAAGATTGACAAACGTAAAACAGCGAGAATAAAGTAAGCAGATTCTACCAGTGACAACCACCTGCAAGAAACTTGGGGTGAGACTTCTACAGTTGTTTTTTTTTTAGTAGAGGTTTTACGGCGCTCGCAACTGCATAAGGTCATATGAGCGTCAAGGGGTGGATGTCAACAGAGAAGTCCTTACACGGAATCACACTTACTCTGCTCACCTCTCTAGCTTCAACAGCACAAAGTCTGCTTCGACTATCAAGGCAGTCTGGAAATAGTGGGTCACAAGAGTGTGACAAACATACAAAAGAAGTAGAGGACAAATGACAATAGGAAGGATCAGGAAAGAAAAAGCAGTAGTTCCCTGTTGTAGATTAGGCAGTTATGAGCATGACATTGATGAAACAGCCCATTTACAATTCTACTATCCATGAACGAGAAATGTCCCCCCTTTGGGAATGGCCTAAAGACACTTCAGTCAGTGGCACTGCTCCAGGGGGGTTTCTACAGTTTAAGACTGATGGTTGAAATAATTCCTCCACCAGGAACTAGGAATATGTCACCTTGCATAAACAGTAACTAATGGAGCACAAAAAACAAAACAAAAAAGAGAATATAATAACACCTGGGCCATGAACAGATTAAAATACTGACGTCCAGCAAGAACATAATATCAGCACTGAGATTTAAATTGTGAACTAAGCTTCATTAATAAATCTGCAATAACACTGTATGGACCCATCGAAAGGCAGCAAAACATACGGAGGTACCAAAGTCAAAGTAGAGTGGGTAGCTAAATCAACTCAAAGAAGTGAGTAAATCTTGTCTTTTTTTTTTATTACACATATTTCAGACAATACACAACATACAGCCAATACCAGTGGCAATTTAAAAACTTTCGTTATTCCTTACTTTTCGCTGGTTTCTGAGGCCTTGTCATTCATGTGACCAGACACATTCTCCTCAATCTTGAGACTGGGATGAGAATCACTATCACGTTCATCTTTTTCAGATGGACCAGAGGTATTTTCTGGAACACTCTCTCGTCTGTTACTGATGTTGGGCAACGAGAAGGAAATTCCTGAGAAAAAAAAGATGAGAAAATAGGTTTTGAGAGAGGCATCCCGCTCTGTGAATACATACATGTTCGATTCCAAATTCCCCCCTCCCCTTCCAAATTCCTAATAATCAGGATGTACAAAAGAAAACACTATTATTATCATTTCTTTAAAATCTACCAATAACGCCTTTAAAGAGACAAATTGTAGCACAATGTAGCTGATGTGTAACTAAAAAACAAGTGAAGTCTGCAGAAAATAGAATAGATAAAAACTACAACAACAGAACAATTAGTCCAGAATTTAAAAGAAAAACATAATTAATTAAAAAGAAAGAAAAACCAGATGACTTCATCAATACAATTTTGGTGGCGTTCACCTTTGTGTCCCTTTTTAGAAGAAACCCCACTCGCTGGGACCAGACCATAAATATGTTTTAAAACAAAGGTGGTATTCAATATTCGCAGAGCATGAAGCTTGAATTTCGTGATTTTGAGCTTAAGAATTAATTAAATTATAGTTTTTTTTATTGCTACCATATGTATCGTTATGAAATACAGTCAAATATCTAAAGACGGCCACCCACGGTTGAGGAGAAAAGTAGCCATCTTAGAAAAGTGGACATCTTACACAGTGTGATTGTAATGGTTTAAAAAAAAAAGCAAGCGGGGGAATGGGAGATGGCTGTTTTTTTTATATTTTAGTAGAGGTTTTATGGTGCTCGCAACTGCAAAAGGTCATATGAGCACCAGAAGATTAGAGGTGTTACAAGACAGTAACAAACATAAAAAAGAAGAAGGGGAGATAAGGACAATAGACATTTGATAGGAAAGAAGGAGCAAACTACACCAGAGCACCCGCCAACCACCTACTGAGATGGCTGTTTGTACAGGTGATTGACTTATACATGTGGCCATTAGAGCAGGTTCGACTGTACTTCAGAATCGAGCCATTGCTTTCCAATTTCACTATCGATGAACCCAGGTATCAACTGTTCTCAATAGATTCAAAGCTGTACAGATAAAAGCTGACAACTAACAGGAATCGCCAAAACAATTGCAGGGGGCTCCAATGTTTGAGTGTTTGGTGAACTCACGCTCACAATAAAGTTAATGGTGTGTCTCTGTGACAGTGTTTTAACACAAATGGGTCATCTCTGGGATGTGCTCCTGAGCCAGACACAATAACCCCAGCTCAAAAACAGGGTCTACACAATGGTAGTCAGCACTAGTGTTGGAATTGTCCATGTTTGTGAAAGTATTATAAATGCATATTTACGTATTGTCAATGTATTTGTGTATTTATGTACACCATTGTAAAACAAATTTTCAAAGGGAATCAATAAAGTGGGATATTTTTCTTTTATTTTTATTCGAAGACCTAGTGACAGCAAGGCTGATGTCAGTGTGTCCCTACTCTACTAAAGTGGCAGTCAATAGCAATACTTGATAGCTTAAGTCCTAAGCTCTAGGTTATTGTTCTAAAGGCACAAGCACAGAGCTCTCATTTTCAAATATTTGCAATACTTCGTTATAACAATTAAAAATATTTTTTCAGACATAAAATAAAGACAAAAAGGTATTCGCTGCTCAACAGAAGTAAATTCATTTAAGAAAAAACAATTATAATGGATATAAGGATTGTACCTTCTTTAGTAAGCAGTTCTCGAAGACCTCGAGTGGACGGAGACAACAACGCAGACCAGGAAATGGCTGACAGTGACCTTTGACACCTGAATAGTACAGTAAACTGGTGGCAGCACAAGTAGAAGTATGGGCAAACACCACTGCGAAGCTGTTGGTAAATGGATGTAAATGACTGGGACCTGAGAATGAAAAAGACAATGCTGCAAGTTAATTTAGACACATAAATCAGATAAGTTAGTACTAAACGGAATATTGTAAAGGGTGGGGGGCTCGTAACCGGTTTTAAAAAGGTAGTTGTGTTTCTGGTGACAAGCCAGTGTTCATAAAAGTACTCATCTTGACGGTTTTACAAAATTTAAAAGACAGCCATCATCATCTCAATTATGTGGCATTTGGTCTAACATAGCTGGATGCTGGGAGAATATGTGAGGCAGCGTGGTGAAATCAGGCGTTCGTCAAAATAACGAAAAGTCAAGAAATTGGCATTTTTCCGCAGGTTTGGGTATTAGTATCACATTTTGGTTTTTTGGTTCAACACCTTTCATGCCTATTAAAGAGCACATTTCTATATGAATTTTACAGGAAAACTTTAATTTAAAGGCAGAAGAAATGTAAATTTTCAGTTTAGCGCTCATATGACCTTAGCAGTTGCGAGCGCCGTAAAACCTTATACTATACTATACTATACTATACTACTATACTATACTATACTAGACTCTCAAGCTAAAGGAATAACTCAACTTTGGCGGTCATTTTCTTGCTAATTTTACCTCTCAAACCTGATTACCCCCACTTCCTTCAATCACACATATCTAGACATCTATTCAACATAGATGTATATTATTTTCACCATAAACAAGGAAAATGGACATGCCTTAAGATGATACCATCAACTCCATATGCCCAAAAATTAACGAGAGCCTGATTCCAACGCGTCGTGCCACATATGTGTAACTTCCTTCCTACCGGGAGACCCTATTTCCATCAAATCTGAATTAAATGTGTCCTCAATTAACTGAAAAACTCACATTATAAATGACTTGTCGGTGATGGAACTATGTATCGTGTGTCAGTAAGCTGTACACTACTAAATTTTCTCTAGAGAGAGAAAAAAAGTGTTTCATTCTAAATTCTTTGAACAATTATGCTTGCATGACGGATTTTTTCTTGATTTCATCAACATTTAGAATTTAAATTTAGACCAAATATTTTTTAGCATGGGAGTAACCAATACCACAGATTATGAGAAAGAAAATTTTTTTTCTCTAAAATCCTGGGCTTAGTACTGGTTGGCCCACTATATAGTTCTTCTTCTAGAGGCTCCTCTAATCTAATGCGACAATAAAGGAGACCACTACTTACTAAGCCTTTACAGATCTAAAAGTCTTTTTTAACCTTCCATCTGAGTAACAAACCTAATTCAGGCTATGCAGAAAGTATATTTTTTTTCTTTAACTGCAAAAACAGCTGAAAATAACTTCTACTTGTTTTTTGTTTGGGATTTTGAAAGTATCACTAGTATCAAGAGAGTACCAGTGTACAAAGCATAATAATGGCTTACCAATCACTGTGTAACATGGATGAAATATCCTCACTGCCGGCAGCAATAGAAGCTGATCTGGAGAAAAGAAGACAGTAGACAAGTAAGGGGTGTAGTCTCGGACTTTAAAAAACAAACAACCCCAAAAACATAAAAAGATTTCAGGATTAAAAAAACCAAAAACAACAACTCCCATAGAGGAACCTCATGACCACTGATGTCCTCTCCCCTTCCTCAGTACTAGTACCGCAATAAGCTCTGAAGTTAATAAACAGTCTCGAGGTAAGAGTATCCAAACTCCAATTCTAGTGAAATAACTTTAAAATCATCTTTCACTTTCATGCATAATGCCACTGCAATCAGTTTCTGACTCCATGGAGAGTAAAGACCCCAGATCTATGGGCTAACTAGGTCAACTGAGTTCCAAATGGAGGGCTTAAATTTACTTTAACCATGGTGAAAAATATTTTTTAAAAATTTCTAAGACCTCTGAACAAACAGCTAAATCAAAGAACCAAGTTACTTCACTGAGAGGCAGACTAAATTAAAGAACATATATAATACTTGACCATCATAACATTCATTCACAACTCAACATGAGTAAAAAAAAAAAAAAGAAGACTGTAACAGCAAAAAAAAAAGTAAGCAAGAACTAAGTTATATAGTCGACTAGAAATCACATACAGGGTGATCCCAAAAAAAACTTTACAACTTTTTTTCTGAACATCTCGACCAAATTTGTTATAGAATGCCGTGATTTGGAACAGACACAATTAATTCAAAAGGAATTTGTTTGATATTACATCCGCGAAGAAAAAACATTTTTTGAAAATAAAAACGGCTAAAAGAAAAAAGCACCCCAAAACGCAAAGTTCACCAATGTTTAAAAATCTTGTAAAGGAAGCCGTGAAAAGATTAGTTGATCTTTTTCTTTATTTTCTCTTTGACATTAATGTTCCATCCCTGTGACATTTAAACAATATTTAATTTCTTTTACAGAGTGTTAAAAACCTAATGACTTCATTCTGAAAACCCTAGAAGCAGTGCTCCACATTCCCTCCTTTGGACTCAACACATTTTTAACACGTCGTTCGAAATGTTCAGTGGCGCCCTAACACAGGGACCTGCTAAACCATGAGTTTTTAAAGCCACATACACTGTACATGTTCACTAAGAAGTGGCTTCTGGAGACAATAGATTGAGGTGCCCAATAGACAGTATTTTTTGAGTTGACATATCCTGAAAGGTGAAAATGGGCTTTGCACTAAACCAAATGTCATCGAGAAAATTATTCCTCTTTACAAGGCAATCGAGGAATGATGAACACATTGCCATGCTCTGATTCATGTCATCTCGGCCTAGCGAAGATGAACATGGTATAGTCGTAGGTTAAGATCTGCCATGAGAATGCAGAGCGTTGATGTGTAAGAAAGTCCAAGCTACAGACCGTATACGCACAGAAGTCTCATGGGACTCGGCTACTGAAATCTGCACTCTGGTGACGTTTAAAGGGCTGCGCATGGTGCGTGTTCGACCTGAAGTGGTCATTTAAAAAAAACCTTTTTAGTTCTGATTCGCTATAGATCCAAACTGATGGAACTTCTCTTCTCATGACGCCAAAGGACTTGAGTGCACCTAAGCATTCTCTCCATGCCGTACGCAGAACTTACGAAATGTCAGGGATGGTGAGTTTGTGGAGAGGTAATGTTCAATACAAAAAGCTCTCTGCTCTTTACTAAACGTAGCCATGATCCCAGCAGGCAAACAAAATTTGCGAAAAATAACATCTGCAGACTTCTGTTGACTTGTTAGACTGCTGTAGCTTGCAGTATGGCACGATTGTTGTAACTTTTAGTGGTAGGCCTAAAGCGAACTTGTGCGTCATGCTATGAAAATGGCCACAAGGTTGAAAATGGGTTGTTTTTTTAATGCGCTATATAGAGCAAAACCATTCAATGAACCTATCTGAAATACATATCAGACAAATTCCTGTTGGCTTCCATACGTTATGTTCAAATCTGAAACGCAAAACTTCAGTATGCAGGAAGATATTTACAAAACAAATTGTAAAGTTTTTTTTGGATCACCCTGTATAGTATATACTCAAACAAACCAAGACTAAAGTAATAATACAATACCCCCCCCCCCCCCAATACACACACTTGACACTTGTTTTACGTTCCACTAACCTGGATCGGAAGTGTGATGCCATCCGTGGAAATGAAATCATCCAGGGAAGATGTGGGTAAGAGTAGTGGAAGCAACACCGCCGCACTTTTTGGTATAGGTCCAGTCCGTCCCACTCGGGGCCATTCTGTCAAGAAAAAAGTCATATTAGGTGTATGTTGGTGCTTAAAATTTAGAGGTAATAATTAATATCCCCTATAAAAGCTGTATCCATACCTGAGTTCAATTTTTGAGCAGATTTTGGAACTTTGTCCTAGTGTGTTTTAAAGTAATTAAACATAAAACAAAAACTTAAAAAAAAAAAAAATCCCTTCAAAAAAAACTTTGTTACCTCCAAATTTTGATGGACAAAGCAATGAAGATGTCTTGCATCTACTCCTGGACGCTTGGCCATGGCATCTGGATCTGCTGTAGTAACGATTCTCAGTTTTGTCTTCAGGCTCCAGTCCACTGGTGGAGTCTCTTTTCCGCACTGAAGTAAAAAGAACAAATGAAAGTTTACTGTAAGAAATAACAGCACCCCCCCCCCCCCTCCCCATCAGTAACATAAACTTCAGGCTAGCTAACCCAACCAATGGACCATGGGCACTAGGACAAGGACTGAATTCAGAAGAAAATCAAACTGGCTGCTGCATAGTGGGCACCAACAGGATATTTTTTCACTTAATTTCAACAATTGTAAACTTTGACCTCTGATGCTGTAAAAATGCCTTGGCTGGACTTGCTTCATTAGTCACTTGACACTTTCTCCATTGTCACTGTTTATAGCACGATCATAGCAGAGGCAAAAGGCATTCACCTTTTAATTATCTTTATTTCCCCCTGCTTATGTACTCCAAATGTGACTGAAAGCGACAACATTTCAAACTTACCCAAGGAAAGCAGTTCTTGGGGTTAACTTTGAGAGAAGAGAGGAAGAAAAGGAAGTAAAAAAAAGAAGAAGGAAACAGCAAAATGTTTCAATTCACCTAAAAAGCAGGAAGGACAACATCTGGACAGTAAAAATATTATTAGGCTAGCCATTATTTTCCAAACCCTATCAGGGGCCCAATAATAATAATAATTATTATTAAACCAGATTTTGTCATACAAACAAAATAACAGGAGTCGAAATGGTTTTGGTGAAGTATATATACATCATGTGATAAGTGTAAGGCTCTCTAATTCCAGACTTGAAAATTCCAGACAGTCGGCATGTCTATAGTACGTTCTGTTAAGCCAGCCCACATACTATTAACACACAATGAAACTGGTAGTTGCAAAAAAATTACAGCAGTAAAGAGTGGATAGGAGGAACTCAAAATAATACTGTACATGATCACTCTTGCCTACACTTTTGAAGGCACTGAAAATTCCTCATTTGTATTGATAATCAGTAGCTAGGATTCAAAATTTCATAAAGGGTCTGAAAAAAAAATCCTGGCCCGATAGCCTAAATCTTAATTTTTTTAAAGCTTGGTGTAAGAGAATTATTACTACATTATATTAAACACAAGATCAGAAAGTAACATGATTAACAGTAACACTATTTATCTCTACACATTATATTTGTGAAAGTCCGTCACTTTGGCCGCCTATAACTTTCAAACCACTTAACTTTCGAATTTGACAAAATTAATGATGGTTCAGAATCTTTAAAGGGTGCACAGTTTTATTGAGGAGCCTGAAGTCACAGCAGTTTAATTTTCAGTTTTTCAACTAGCTTCATTTAGATCTATGCTTGGGAAAGTCCGACTTCTAAAACGCCATTGTAAACAAGTGAGGTTTCCGTTCACTAGCTGTGCGCACTATTGTTTGGAGAGTATAAAAATCTAGACCTAATTTTTTGCATCTCTCAAGATTTTTTGCTCCATTCCAGTAGATTGAAAAGTAGGCCAATGACTTTCAGTTGACGTTTTCAAATGCACCGATCATTCCTTTCATCGAAAGGGGGCCCAGCTAGTATTATATATTTAATAAAAAACACAGCTACAAACCTGAACCATTCCAGGGAAGTCCCTTCTGTCAAGATCAACAACTGCCTCCCTTTCGTCAGGGGAAAGAGCTTGAAATACCACAGGACTGTAACTCATCTTTTCACTTGTCGCTTTCTGGGTATCATTGGAAGAATTTTCTTCATTTTTACTAATGCAATCTTTTGTGGTCCCTGGTGTCTGAGGGGGAAAAAACAAGAAATTATTTATTGAAGATTGTGCTCATGCCTGCTAACACTTATTAAACCACTTTTATAACTATAATATAATTGATATCATCAGTTTCTTTGACTTAAGGATAAAACATGGAACTGCTTGGGTACACAGCATAATGTGTATGCTGTGCATCTGGAGAAAAGTGAGCCCACATTCTTTCAAGCCAAAGGCTGATAAAGTTTTCAAAGATCAATTTTTGAACCAAACTGTGCTCCATTTCTGAACCATAATACTTAAATAACTCCCACCCTTGCGATGAGCATAAGGTTGGCAAAACAGTGCAGCGATGCTGACAGTACAACTGGGTTCCTGTTGTACAGCCCCGACTGCCCAACATCACTCATCAAGGAGCATATATTCTGTTGTCCAATCTGTTTGAAAAATGTCTTTTTGTTGGTGAAATACGTACATGAGCAAGTCTCAAAAATTGGTCCCGAAAGTGTGACAAAAAATATTTTGAAATCTAAATAACTGAACCAAAAGCAATCTCATTTCATCAACAGTAAGCTTAAAAGTTTCATTATATACTGAATTTAAGATAAAAAGTTTGACCATTTTTTTGTAACGTTCGATTTTCTGGAATACCTCAGTTATTGAATGGACATGATGATGACACAATAAAGTGTACTGTAATTTTTTGCAAGTTTCAATAGGATTTGTCTAAAATTGATCAGGATAATAGAAATTGGCAAATCAAGGCAAAAAACACCAAAATAGATCAACTATACCAAAATGATCTGCCAGATTTCCACCTGGATTACTGTCATACATCATGTCCGTAATGTTTGACTTGTCAATTTCTCTTTTATTTGGTAACTAACGAAGTCTGAAGAACTCTCTTGAACCCATATGAAGTCATTTGATTGTCTTATTCAGAGACATAATTTTGAGCAAACAAAAAAGATGCCATAGTTAGTGAGCGTGCAAATATGCAATGGACATGACTTATGAAGTGATGACAAGAAGAAACATGTCATGCATCATGTCCATTTATCCCTTCATCCTCTGAGCATTTCGTAAAGCATACCCAGGCCCAAAAATATGTTTTACAAGTATACTTTACTGTTTGAATATAAATATGACTGGCATAAAAAAATCTGATAAAAAAATAATTTATAGCAATAGTGGTATTCGATGTGGACATGATGATGACATTAAACTTTCTGTCATTGATCATGTCCATCCGTTTTTGGTCAATTTTTGCCTTTTTGCTCCTTTGAAGGCTTAAAATTCGTTCAATGTGTCTCTGTTATTTTATGTTCTACGCAGTAATGAATTTTGCAATATTCTACAACAAAAAGCTGATGAGAATGTAATGGACATGATGATAACATGAATTCTTTCCGTCATTGCTCATGTCCATGCAAAATCTCTAAATTTAAGATTCATTATGAATCAGCAAACACTATAATATGCAACTGGTTCTTACACAGAAACTAAACCACCATGCTTTATTAGATTTAACGAGACCATGGCTTGTTTAGCCACCGGATGTGACATTTTAATAGATCTGAAACGGACATGATGCTACAGGAAAGTGATGACAAAAAAGTTCCTCTTATTTCCTCCACGGTCCTCCATCAGCAGCAATGTGCGCTCAGTCTCACTCGGGGACATTTATATGGAATTAGTTGATTCATTAAAACGTGTGGTAGCAAAGCCGAGAAACAAAATACAGGCTCATGAACGGACATGATGAAATGACAGAAATTGCAATGAAAAAGTTTTTTTGTTTATAACATCCCCATTATGAGTCAAAACAACTCAACTAGTGTGTTTTAATAACCCCTTTCGACTAGAAGTAATGCCCATTTTATTTATCTCTTTAAAAGTCTTTTCTTTTTTCATCACCAAGTAGGCTTAAAATAGAACAAGAATATGACGAGAAGCTTCATGTCCGTTCACCAGACTTGTGACCCAGTCAGGGGCTTTCTGCCCAACAGTTCATCGCCAAAATGCGAGCTTTTCTTAAACACACAACCTCCTACCACAGAAACAACATGAGATTTTTAGCATTTTCCTTTCCTGCATAAAGTTTCACATCATTAAAATTACCATCTATAATGTCACGTTTTGACCGCTCAAATTTTTGGTATTTTCCACTTACATTTTGTAATTTCACTAAATTTAGCCATTGGAACAAGAAATGCTTTCTCAGGCTATATCTTCATTTAAAGTACTTGATGATACACAGAAATTTGCACATCATTGTAGCATATTCCCTGCTTTGACGATGAGATGAAAATATGCACTATTTAAACAACCAACTTTTGAGACTTAGTCACATGTACAACATAGCATTTAGAGAAGAGAATCTTCTCTCCTTCTATCTCTATGTCGTTCTCGTGGGAAAAAGAAGTAGCCAACCAGTGGGCGATGTGCGCCATACAATGTGTGCTTCTGGTGGTATAGCAAGGCAAATTTTCATTAAATTAGTTTGGACCGTACAAGACAGTTGACGGATGGTGGTGTGTAGGCACGAATACTTTGTGGCGCTTCTTTACGTTGGTAAAAAACTTGGCGGTAAGCGGAGGCGGCAGTACGAGGTTTGACTGTATATTCAGATAATAAGTAATAAACTTACCAGTTTACAATCAGCGAGGTTCAATTCATCAATCAACTTGCTCCCATTACTTGTTTGCTTCTCAGGTAGACCAGGGGAACTTAACTGTATACTAACAGAAGACGACGGCTCGTCAGCTGATGGTAACCTGCTCAGGCTATTTTCATCACTAGACTGGTTTGACAGCACAGACCTGCGTTTCCTTGGTGATCCAAAAGAATCTCGGCCAAATGGATTTCTGCGTTTAGAGCCAAAAGTTTGAGTGCTGTAAATGGCCATGTCACTTTTTGATGAATGGAGAGCAGGAATGTTTTCAGCTTCATTTTTTCCGCTTCCAGACAGCTTTCTGCTCAGACTTGACGATGAAGAAGAGCGTTTTAAACCAACATCGCTTGAAGCTCTTCGGATCTTGTGAGTCCTCATGATGTCATGGGGGTTTTTCCATTCCATTGTTGTGGCAATGTTTTTATTGAAAAAACAGTGGTTCAACCTGTACATGAATGAAAATATATATTATAAATAATATATAAAAATTATAAAATAAAAAATTATTTTAAAAAAATGGTGTTCCCCTTCAGATCCTGATATTTTTTCGAAATTGCAAAAAGGTGCTGTTCGGAAGCTACACGTACACTAAACATATTTTTAGAGGCCTTTGAGACTTCCTTAATTAATAATAATGATAAAATATTCCATTCCGTGATAAATATTCCATTCCGTCAACTTTCTGTAACCAGTTAATCTTAGAACCATATATATTTGTTAATTAAGTGTCAGTAAAACTTCATAGTGGAGGTTGATGACTTCATTGCTTTTTCTGTGCAAACGAACTGTCTTAACATTTTCCAAAAAACCGAAGAACTAGGACTATAAACTATTATTTATAATAGTTCACCCCCCCCCCCCTGGAACCTCTGCCCCCCCCCCTCCCCTAAATTCCCAAGACTTGTTTTATATTATGTGACTAGATGGAATCTATGACTCCTCGCGATCATGTATCTTGAACTGCTTTGATTGTAAACTACCTGCCCATTAGAAGTCTATATATATATATATATGGGAAAAAGAAATATTATATTTATATATTTATATGTTATGCAGTGTGTACTTCTGGTGGTACAGCAGGGCAAATTTTCATAAAATTAGTTTGGACTGTACAAGCCCGGGCTTCATTATATTGGGTCATTCCACCAGTACTGTTTACACTTAAATTTCTTCTAAGTCTATTTTGGATGTCAACTAATTAAAAGACACCAAGCACACATATTTTGGTACGTGCAAAGAAACCACGTTGAGCAATTTTTGATAAAAGCTTGAAAAACTATTAATAGTCCATGTTGTAAAAATAAGAAACAGAAGCGAAAAAAGGTGTTTTTCTGAGTGAAAAAAGACAAAAGGAAATGGTGCAGGTAATAATAATTGGTCTGCAAGCAACAAAACTGTTTGTTTTCTTGTTAAAAGAGGCACCTTTCCATATTAGCAAAGAGAAGGACTTTGGAACAGAGCGTGCAAAAAACACACACTTTTCCGGTATGAGGTCGCCGTTGTTTAGTAGTGAGGATTGTTACATGACGTGTTTGTCCATTTTGAACTGGAAAAACATGTTTTCAAAAAGTCACAAATGGGCGGGTTCAGTTTTTTCCATTGTAATTGTACGGGAAACTGAACCATTCCTACACTGCTTCATTGAGAGAAGAATTTCGCAGGATTGCGACTTAATTCTGAATTTTCATGCCGCTTTGAAAACGAAGCCGATGTTCATCCAAGGCAAATGTAACATGATTCCCTATTGTCTTTCATAGCGCGTTTCATTTTCTTTTTCAAAGTGAGTATTTCTCCGAAAGTTCCAGAAAATAAAGTTGAACTCTATTTCTCTGAATGGTTTCCGATCTCGAGATTTTTGGGGTTCGAGATTTCGGCGTCATCCTTTCATTCTGCGAGGACTGGGAAGAAGCATTTTTTGCATCAAATTCAATATAGATCTAGCACATCTAGAGATTTTACAATGTCTGAATATCCAGATACTTCAGTTGTCAGTTGAGGTTGGGACAACGTTCCCAGACTATACTAGATTTATACTTCATTTGAAAAACCTTCAAAAGGTCTGCGAGAAAACAAGACTGCTCGAAATCGGCAGTAACTTATTTTGCATATTAATATTTAGATCTAGATCTAAATCTAGATATATCTAGTCTCCCAGCAAAAACTAAAATCCTTCAGGTAAAAAAAAAAAATCCCTCCACGTCCCCATTCACACCTTGCAATACTTACACTCACACAATACAATGCACACTCACACACACATAGATCTAGATCTACACACACGGGCCACTCCATTCGCTTATTTACTTATTATCAACAAATCTCGAGAACGGAAACCATTCAGAGAAATAGAGTTCTTAAAGTTTATTTTCCTGAACGTTCGGAGAAATAGAGCCGGTCTTATTTTTCCGCCGGCACGCTTTCCAATGCCATGCTCAGTAGAAGCCAATCTTTCGCTTCCAGAGGTTGAATCTTTTCTTTCAAGAAGGCAGTTTCTAGATTCTAGACCTACATCTAGATTTAGATTTATATCTAGATATAATCTAGATCTAGATCTAAATCTAGAATCTAGATCTAGATTAGCTATGGGATAAGACACTTTGTGTTCGTCCACAAAGTTAGAGACAATGTTTTAGTCCGAGTTTTTGCGGAAGAAGGAGGCTCAAGGCAGGCCACCAAAACATGTAGATCTAGATTCTCTAGATCTCTAGCTAGAATCTAGAGTCTAGATTTAGATGGAACTTCCTTACAATTTAGATCTATATATAGATTCTAGATCTAGATCTAGATCTAGATCTATATCTAGATCTAGTGAAGGGCAGTTAAAATTAGAAAATTCAAGCAGTAGAGTGAATTCACCAACCAACCGTATAGATCTAGAATATCTAGATCTAGATTTAGATCTCTACTCCCGCGATGCTGTTAGTGTTGTAGTCTGTAGTTAGTCTGCTAGATTCTACGTCAGTAGGCAGCAGGTCAGGAGAGGGTGGAGGTGGAGAAAAGGAGATAAAAAGTAGGACCTGAAGAAGCTTGATTCTCGAGCCAGCAAGCCTAGTCAGTCCCAGGTACTGCTTAGTCCGTGATAAGGCGTTAGATATGTGTCCATGAAATAACGGCCCACCACTTGGTTTCTTGGTTAGACTCTCTAACACTTAAAATTCTATCCACCTCCTTAATCTAGCCGCTAGCCTACAGTTGTTTGTTTATATTGTTGTTTTGGACCTGGCGCCAACTTCGTGACGCACATCCGTTTCGACCACTTTCCGGCTTTTTCTTTTCCCAGATTAGGCAAAACCGATCAAACGGCCACAACTGCAAGAAAAGCAAGGCCGTCTTGGCAGTCCTGAACCTCTGAACATGAGCACAGGTTCTTTTAAAAACTGTGTAATAGATTTTTTAGATTCTATATCATAATTAAATACTCTCTGCTGGAGCTAGCATTTTTAAAAATAATATTATATAAATAATTATCATAATCTTTTTTAGAATTGTAATTTTTAATTTCAACCTGGATTTTACAAGGCCAACTGTTATTCTTCCCACACTATACATGTACTAGGCTTACCACATACGATACATAGATCAAGGGGAAACCGGTGGTTATCCAATTCTGGCACCCGTTATCTCTCAGCGGAATAATAATAGACTCTAGCCTAAACAAGGAGATTAAAAGTAATTAGTTCTAAACTCCTTGACTCTAAAGCACAGGCCTCTCAAGGCAATCTACATGGTTTTTACTCAAAACTTTCGCCTCGAAGGGGATAGCGATGGGGATGCAATTTGTTTTAAAAGCCACAGCAAAGTCTGAGTCACGTACAGTTCGCAAATTAAAATCCCTCGGAATAATGATTAATGGTACTGCCCCGTACATAGAAAAATATAATCTTATACTGTCCCAGTCGGATCGTCAGATAATGCGATTGTGCGGCCGCGGCGCGTCCACGTTTTTTCGCATAATTCTGCAACATTCGCATAATTTCGGATTACCTGCGTTTTTTTGTGCGTATAAAACATTTTAACGCCTAAAGGGACGTAATCGGAGAAATAAGCCTCATTTAGTAGACAACTTGGCTATTTCCCCTGTTAGGGATTTTTGTTCCTTGAGCGTGTTCAATTTTTCAATAAATCAAAAGTTGTTCTCATGCCTGCTGATGTTTCATGTTTGACAAGTGTCCCTGGTTTTAGTGATATGCCAGCATCAGAGGTCCAGATGTCTTTTTCTTTCTTTCTTTTTCTTTTTTTATTTTTAAAATCATTTTCCCCCTCTATGCAGCTGAAAGTTACAGAGATAATATTATTATAAAAAAAAAAAGAAAGAAATACTGAAAGTTTCAAAGAGATCTGCGCAATAGAAATATTCTAAAATGTGAAGAATACAACCCAGGGTGTACAAAATGACCCCAGGGCGTACGGATAGGGTAAAAAAAAAACCTGGACGTTATCAGGGAATTCCTTTTTGTTGAAACAATTTGTGCTTACTTGAAGGCCTTCGCGCACGCTTGCACGAGCGTGTTTGTGTGTGTGTGTGTGTGTGTGTGTGTGTGTGTGTGTGTGTGTGTGTGTGTGTGTGTATGTGTGTGTGTGTGTGTGTGTGTGTGTGTGTGTGTGTGTGTGCGTGCGTGTGTGTGATATATATAATATATATATTATATATATATATATATATATATATATATATATATATATATATATAGAGAGAGAGAGAGAGAGAGAGAGAGAGAGAGGGGGGGGGGGTGAGCGAGGGGAGTTACAAAGAGAGTTTGAGTTTCTGAGAGGGGGCGAGAGAGATCGAGATAGATAGATAGGTAGACAGACAAAGAAAGATATATATATATATATATATACACTTGCGGACAAAAGAAATGCGAAATTTTGCTCACTTTTGTAATTGTGACCATTTTTTTCCATAACCAAACTGGGGAACTTAAACACCAAATGTTTCTGGCATTATGAAAGGATACGTGGGGCTTCAATGTGAATATTCAATTTTAACGGAACACATACTTTTTCAACTTCTGGTTAATGCATCAAAATGTTTAGCAGCGGGAATTTATTGTTGGTTCCAAATTTGGGACTAGGAAGATATGATGTGTTCTTTTATTTTCGGTTTCATGCCAGAGAAAGGGATTTTACTATTTTTGTTTTCATGTAGTTTTAGAGATTCGTTGGCAAATTGGTCAACGGTTTCGTTGCCATCAATGCCTACATGGTTTGGAAGCCAAGCTATTGTAACAGTTTTTCCAGATTGAAGTAAAAAAAAATGCAGTTTAATTATAAGTTTTAAAATTCTGTTATCGGAGGTGTCAGAGAGCTCTAAAGATTTCAGACTAGAGAGAGAGTCTGAAAGGATTAGGAAAGTAGACTTCGGGGTACTGAGCTAAGTTTCAAAGCATACTGCAAAGAGAGTTTTCTTCTTCTAAGTTCTAAAGATAGTTCGTGAGCTTCTGCCTGTAAACTTTCTACAGGTGAAGTACGGAAAGCGCTTAGAGCAAGGCGAAGGTCTTGGTTCTGAACAGGGTCTAAAGTTTTAAGGTAAGACTTTCAAGCTGATCCGTAAACAGGCCTGGCATAGTCCAGCCTGGAACGGACAAGGGAGCGGTAGAGTTGAAGAAGTATTTCAGTATCCCCTCCCCTTTCGGGATTGGATAATACTTTTAAGGCGTTGAGAGCACTATGACACCTTGTCTTTAGGTCTTTCAAGTGTGGTAAGAAAGAAAGTTTGTTGTCGAAGATTACGCCCAGGAAACGACCTTGTTTTTTAACAGGAATTTTCTCCCCAAAGAAATATAGGTCTGGTTGTCGCACACACTTGTGCGACAAACAAAAATGGACACAGTTCGTTTTTGTTGTAGAAAATTTAAACCCGTGCCTGTTTGCCCAAGTTTCCAGTTTATGGAGTTGAAGCTGAAGCTGACGTTCAATGTGATCTATTTTTGATTTTGATTTACAGCAGATCAGGAAGTTGTCAACGTAAAGTGAGCAGTCAATATTGTTTTGAAGGGTTTTTGCAGTGGCGGTGGGTATTGAAGGGCTCACGGATTTGAGCCCCTAACCCCTCCCCACCCACCACCCCCCAACTCTATCCCAAAGCAAATGAAAGTTTCTCCATAATGAAATAAGCAGTTGAAACCGTTATGACCGCACGCAATGAACACAGAGTGATCAACTTGGCGGCTTGCTCGCTTATCCAATTAGTGTTGTCACCGCTTACAACTATAGTAACCCAGCAGCCAATCAAATGTCTTTAGGGCTCAGCAAAGACGAGCCCTTTTCCCACAGTCCGTCCTTAATGAAATCTTCTTGTAAAAAGGTAGAAGACTTGGAAAAAATAACACTGTACCGAGGGCTCACGCTCTCCTAGCCCTGACTACGGGGTGAAAGTTTACGACACACTTTTCCCCACTGACACAGATACCTATGCGCTCATTGGTTCTTTGTTGGGTGCGTTCCACTTTCTCGACTACACGGCCTAATCCAGCTCAAAGAAGTATTATGTTTAAAGTGCTTTGTGTTCATGTTTGTGTTAGTGCCGCTGAGATTTAACAGTTATAAATCAGGTCGAACAACTTGTAAGGCAACTTTTTCATCACACGAAAACTAATTAGAGGAAATTTGGAGGTGAATCAGCTTCGTCCCCACCATCAACAAGAATTTAACTAAGAACAAAGAGATGGAAAACAAAGGCAACTCTTCTCGTTTGAATGGTTCTGAAACTGACGTGGGTCATCGTGAGTATAGAAAAATCATCAATGTTTAATTCTTATTGCTTGCTATTTGGTGGTAAAGAACTGGAAGCAACCTAAGCCCCACCCAAGTTTTGGTCCACCCGCCACCTCTGGGTTTTTGCGATGGAATTGATTTTGATTTAAAAAAGAATGGGTGATAAGATGCTTCCCTTGGGGACGCCTTCTTCTTGGGTGTGTAAATTTGATAGTGTTGAATTTACTTTTACTTGAAATGATCGATCTTTCAAAAAGTTTCGTACAAATTCGGGAAGATTTCCGCGCAAGCCCAAGTCATGCAGGTCTTTCAAAATACCATGTTTCCGTGTGGTGTCAAAGGCTTTTTTTAAAGTCGAAAAAATAATAGAAATAAGGTGCTCTTTCCGAATGAAAGCTTCCCGAATGAAAGTTTCAAGTTGGACGAGATGGTCAATAGTAGAGCGATTTTTTGCGAAAACCGCATTGAGAATTGGATAAAGAGTTTGAGGTTTCTAGAAACCACATCAGACGTTTGTTAATACGTTTTTCCATAAGTTTGCAGAAACGTGGAAGCCATTAGGCTGTTGGTAACACGTAATGGGATCTGCCTCCATATCTCCTGGATGGCACCATCAGTTCCTTCGCGGTTCTCGGCCTTAGTTGTCTTCCCTTGAGATCCCGCTTAATTTCGTGCCAAAATGCCCAATTGGGTTTTAATCCGGGTTTAGGGCAAGGTGAGGCTGGAGTGAGGCTGCAGAGTGATGCCATGGCGTAGGAGGAAACTCTACGTAGCACGGGCAGTGTGTGTACGTGCATTGTCTTGCTGGAATCGGAAGTTAAAATTTGGTCTGCGTAGAAGAACCTGGAAACTTCTGCTATACATGGGGCAGTATTGGCACCTTGACCTCGACTATGACCTTGATTTTGGAAGATCACTGGTCCTACTACGTGGTTCCACATGAATCTGCCCCAGATCATGACGCGAAGTCTCCCTAACGATTCCTCTCTTTGACACAGTTGTCACGATAACGTTCGCCTCTCTCTTGATAAACTCTAAGGCGTCGGTTTGTTGTATCTGTGGAGAACAGGCATTCGTCAGAAAAGAGAATCGAAGACCAATCTCTTAAACGTCAGTTGACATGGTGCTGAGCCCAGCTGAGACGCTCTTGGTGATGACGTGCAGTCTAGACCATAGTAAGGTCGATGACGTCTAAGGCCTAGGCCTCCCTGGGGCAATCGTCGGTTCCCTGTGTGTTGACTTTTGGCTCTTCCGTGGGTACTCTTTATCAAATCTGATGTTCTGTTGCTGTCTGGCATCGATTTGCACGATGCTACCGGACAATTTGTCAGTCTGCACGTGCATCGGCCAATCTGGTTCAAACTTACTTGAATCAGTGGCTGAAGAATTCGTGAGCTGAAAATTAAAACAGGGTTTCAGTATGTGGATAGTAGATACTCGAGATGTGAACACCAAAAAATGATTGGCGAACACAATTGGCCTTTCTCCACCCTCCAAACGGCCAATTGCTCCATACCATCGTCGTTGCAAATGCAGGCGAAAAGACCAAACAGATTTTTTTTACCACGGCTGTTATAACCCAGCTCAGGTGAGTACTTTTCACCCTTTTCCCACTCACTTCGACCGCGTTTGGGAGACACCACCTGGCTTTTTCCATGCCTCAATTGAGGGGTATTAACTCAAGTTGTCACTGACAAGCAAGACAGTTTAGACAGGCGACGTTTGATTTCCAAAGAGCATATATTATCATGGCATACTATTGATGGTGTAGATTTCAGTCTTTTGATGGTTATAATTTAGTTATGGCAAAAATAGTTTTTCGCGTTTCTTTTGCTTGCTTCCCCACCAGGGCAGTGCTACTAACTGAAGTTGTCTTTAGGCCATTCCAAAAAGGGGGATATAAACATGTTTTTATGCACAGTAGGATTGTAGCCTATATGGGCTGATTTATCAATGTCATTGTCATGCTCATACAGTGCCGGAACGACATTGGGGGAACTACTGCTTTTTCTTTCCTCATCCTTACTATCGTCATTTTCCCTCTACTTCTTTTGCATGTTTGTCACACTCTTATCACCTGCTATTTCCGGGGTGCCTTGATAGTCGAAGCAGACTTTGTGCTGTTGAGGCTAGAGTGGTAAGCAGAGTAAGCCTGATTCCCCGTTTGGACTTCTCTGTTGACATCCACCCCTTGGCGCTCACATGACCTTATGTAGTGGCGAGCTCAGTAAAACCTAACTAAAACAAAACGAACGAAAGTATATATTTATATTTACTCTCCCTTTCTTATTTTCTAAGCTTACGTATGTATGTGTGTGCGTGTGTGTGTTTGTGCGTTTGTGTGTGTATAATAATTATGTTTATGTGTGTGTGTGTGTGTGTGTGTGTGTGTGTGTGTGTGTGTGTGTGTGTATGTGTGTGTGTGTGTTTGGTATGCATATATCCTGATCGTGGCTATAAGCACGGTAAACAATACAAACTACTTTTTTTTTCCCCCAAAGGATGACAAAAGGTAAGATTGCCTATTTATGTAGGCCTAAGAATATAATTTTGACGAATAGAAAAAAAATAGGAACAAAACAATAATAGTGGGATTGTGATCTTACTAGACTGACACTCCTTGGTTAATAACGTGAAGTGCATGGGTTTGATTTTTCGTTAGTTGCAGAGCACTACTAATATAGGGTTCGACTTGACGTGGGAGCCACATGAGAAAGAAGACGTAATTCGCCTTTGTTATATCAATCTTTAGGCTATCATCAATTGCCATTATGCAGGTCTAAATGCCCAGATCTGGCTTGCATTTTGCTGGTGAAATGAAAGATATTATGTTGCCTGCGAAAAGTTGTTAACTAAATACAAGGTGCCGTCGGTCTAATTCCAATTACCACTTTTAGTTTTATGCTTTTTATTTTTGTATGCATGCAGTGATTTAAAAACACTATTTGATTAATACTTCTTCAATTAA